AAAAAAAAAAAGTCTGACATTTTGTAAAAAGAAAAAAAAGATACATTTTCAGTTTTAGATGATCAGAATAAAGCACTTATTTTTGTAGAAGTTTTTGAGGGAAGTCAAGGATTGCAAGTTAGGTACTGTCCTTTTTGGTGATTTTTGCCTGTTTACTTTTAAATTTGAAATTATTCTGACACATTTCTGTTAACTTGATTGTTGGGAGGAATTATATTCAACTGAATAAGTCAAAATAGGCATTTATCCAATCTGGGCAACATAGTGAGACCCCATCTTTATTAAAAAAAAATAGCCAGGTGCAGTAGTGTGCACCTGTAGTCCTAGCTACTTTGCAAACTGAAGTGGAAGGATTTCTTGAGCCCTGGAGGTTTTAGGCTGCAGTGACCCATGATCTTGCTACTGCACTGCAGCTGGAGCGACAGAGGAAGACCTTGTGTGAAAAACACAAACAAAAGCAAACAACAACAAAACAAAATAGTCGTTTGTGTATAAAACTTTTATAGACTTTTTGGGCAGTATTTGTCAACATCTTTTTGTAATTTTAGAACATTTATGTTTCTCAAAGTTTTCTCTTAGGGAGATACCTTGATATTAAGGAGGAAAGCATTAGAATTCATTGTTCAGCTTGGATTCGAAGAATGTTTGGAATTAATTTCTGGTTCATATTTTGGTTAAGAAAACAAGATCATGTTTCTACATTAGCATTTCGAACAGTTGATATCAGTCCAGCAAAAATCATGCCAAATTAAATCTAGCATTTTTCTAATAATGTTTAAAATAGTTCTTGTAATGTTCGAGTCTTTTTTTATTTTCAGACGGAGTCTTGCACTGTTGCTCAGGCTGGAGTGCAGTGGCGCAATCTTGACTCACTGCAAGCTCCGCCTCCCGGGTTCACGCCATTCTCCTGCCTCAGCCTCCCGAGTAGCGGGGACTACAGGCGCCCGCCACCACGCCCGGCTAATTTTTTGTATTTTTTTTTTAGTAGAGATGGGGTTTCACCGTGTTAGCCAGGATGATCTCGATCTCCTGACCTCGTGATCCGCCTGCCTTGGCCTCCCAAAGTGCTGGGATTATAGGTGTGAGCCACCGCAGGAGTCCTTTTAATCAATTAATTGCTTTTTCTCTCTAATAATTGTAGACAGCTGAAGAGGGATCAATTTAAAAAAATTCAAGTTTACTTCAGTAATCATTCTAGATGACAGAATTGTACTTTAAAATAGCTACATTGTATATTTAAGTACTAGAAACATCCAAGAAATAGGAGCCTACATTACATAAAAATATAAAATATAAAAAGCTTTATTATAAATAATGAGAATAATCAGTTGATACTCAATATAGAGAAGTCACTGTGCTTAAAATTGTAACTTTTAGTTCAAGAACTTTTATTGGGCCTAAGTTAAATACTGGTTTTTTTAAAAAGTGAACTTTGACTTTGCATTTAAAAGTGATGAATATATCTATTTCCTAAGAATGAGGGGAAGTAAATAATCGGCAAACACAGGCTGAATACGGTTTTTTAAAAGTAACTTTTTCTTTTTGGAATAATTTTAGAATTACAGACAGGATGCAAAGATAGTAGAGAGTTCCCTTATAATCCTTACCCAGTTTCCCTTATTGTTATGTTATCACAGCATATTTGTCAAAATTAAGAAACCTTCATTGAAGCATTACTGTTAAATTTTAAACATTAATTGAATTTCATGATATCTTTTTTCTGTACCATGATTCAAACCAGGATACCATGTTGCATTTAAAATAGTGCTTTTGAAAAATAATTTATTTAATTTTTGAAACATATAAATAATTTGTTGTAAGCATCTGGGGAGTAAGAATTTTTTATTTTGTTAGTATCTAGATTAGTACAGGTATACCTCAGAGATATTGTGGATTTGGTTCTATGCCATTGCAATAAAGCGAATATAGCAATAAAGCGAGTCACAGAAATTTTTTGTTTTGCCCAATGCATAAAAAGTTATGTTTGCACAATACCGTAGTTTAAGTGTCCAACAATATGTCTAAAAACACTATACATACCTTAATTAAAAGTACTTTATTGGTAAAAAATGCTAACAATCATCTGTACTTTTAGCAAGTCATAACTTTTTGCTGGTGGAGGGTCTTGACTCAGTATTGTTGGTTGCTATCTGATCAGGGTGGTGGTTGCTAAAGGTTGGAGTGGCAGAGGCAGTTTCTTAAAATAAGACAGCAGTGAAGTGTGCCACATTAATTGACTCTTTCATGGAAGATTTCTCTGTAGCATGGGATGCTGTTTGACTGAATTTTACTCAGAGTAGGACTATTTTTGTTTGAGACGGAGTCTCTCTCTGTCACCTAGGCTGGAGTGTAGTGGTATGATTTCGGCTGACTGCAACCTCTGCCTCCCAGGTTCAAGCAATTCTTGCACCTCAGCCTCCCGAGTAGCTGGGACTACAGGCATGCACCACCACACTTGGCTAATTTTTGTATTTTCAGTAGAGATGGGGTTTTACCACATTAGCTAGGCTGGTGTCAAACTCCTGGCCTCAAGTAATCCACCTGACTTGGCCTCCCAAAGTGCTGGCAATACATGCGTGAGCCACCGTGTCTGGCCTCAGAGTAGAACCTCTGTTGAAATTGAAGTCAGTCATTTTCAAACACTACTGCTACTTTATCGACTAAATATACAGAACATTCTAAATTCATTGTCATTTCAACAATGTTCCCAGCATCTTCACCACGAGTAGATTCCATCTTCAAAAATCACTTTCTTTATTTATCCATAAGAAGCAAGTCCTCTTCAGGCTCCATTTCTAAATCTAATTCTCTAGTAGTTACTTCCTCCACCTAAGTCTCGAACACCCCAAAGTCATCCGGGAGGGTTAAAATCAACTTCTTTCAAGCTCTTGTTAATGTGGATCGTTTGACCTCCTTCTATGAATCACGAATGTTCTTAATGGAATCTGGAATGGTGAACCCTTTCAAAAAAGTTTTTGATTTACTTTGCCTAGGAATCACTATCTATGGTGGCTATAGCCTTACAAAATGTATTTCTTAAATAATAAGACTTGAACTTCAACGTTACTCCTAATCCATGGGCTGCAGAATGGATGTCATTTTAGCAGGCATGAAAAACAATATTCATCTCCTTGTATATCTCCATCAGAGGTGTAGGGTGACCAGGTGCATTGTCAGTGAGCAGTAATATTTTAAGAGGAGTCCTTTTTTTTTGAGCAGTAGGTTTCCATAGGCTTAAAATATTTAGTAAACCATGCCATAAACAGATGTACTGTCATTCAGTCATTTTTTTATTCCATTCATAGAGCACAAGCAGAGTAGATTTAGCATGATTCTTAAGGGCCCTAGGATTTTCAGAATGGTAAATGGACTCTATCTTCAACTTACAGTTACCAGATACGTTAGCCCCTAACAAGAGCATCTGCCTGTCTTTTGAAGCTTTGAAGCCAAGCACTGACTTCTGTCTAGCTCAGATCTCATCTTCTTCCAGGAGAACTGTTGAATTGTGTGTAGCCACTTTTGTTAATTATCTTAGTCAGGTCTTCTGGGTAACTGTGTGCAGCTTCTACGTCAACTCTTGCTGTTTATCTTGCACTTTTATGGTATGGAGACGTCTTCTTTCCATAAGGCTCATGAACAGACCTCTGCTACTGTCAGACTTTTCTCCTGCAGCTTTCTTATGTCTATTAGCCTACATGGAATTTAAGAGTTAGGGCTTTGCTCTGGATTCAGCTTTAGCTTAAGGGAGTGTTGTGGCTGGTTTGATTGTCTATCCAGACCACTCAAAATTCCTCCATATCAACAGGCTGTTTTACTTCCTTATCACTTGTGTGTACACTTTTAATTTCCTTGAAGACTTTTTCTTTTGCATTAATAACTGGGCCAACTGTTTGGCTCAAGATACCTACCTTTCGGCCTGTCTTGGCTTTTACATCCCTTCCTCACTAAGCTTAATCATTTCTAGCTTTTGATTTAAAGTGAGAGACAGGGACTCTTCCTTTCACTTAAATACTTAGACCATTGTAATATTACTAATTAGCCTAATTTCAATATTGTCGTGTCTCAGGAAATAGGGAGGCTCAAGAAGGGAGAGGGGAATGGCTAGACAGTGGAGCAGTCAGAACACACACATTTATTAAGTTCTCAGTCTCAAATGGACATGTTCATGGTGCCCAAAATAATTCCAATAGTACCATCAAAGATTACTGATTACAGATCACCATAACAGATAATAATAATGAAAAATTTTGAATTATTGGGAGAATTACCAAAATGTGACACAGAGACACAAAGTAAGCATGTGCTATTGGGAAAATGGTGCTGACAGACTTGATTAACGCGGGGTTGCTACAGACTTTCAATTGGTAAAAATTGCAGTATCTGTGAAGTGAAATAAAGCAGAGTGCAATACAATGAGGTTTGCCCCTACTTATCTAGCTGGCCTTCAAAAAGTATCTGTTGCATGATTGAATGAGTCTATGAGATTTAGTAGGAAACATATTTTGAAAAGAATATCCTTCATTCTATTTCCTTCATAGGAACTAGAAAGAGCCTATTTTAGCTTTTTGCATTTCATCACCACTTTCTTTTTTATTTCAAATAGTGAGAAGTCTTGGAAATGACTGAAACTACACATTGTTGAATGTTTTAGTGAATATAAAATGAACTGAGGTTATACTCTATGTAAATTTTTGGCAGAATACATGAATTATTTTATGAGTATGGGACTGTTATTGCACATAGCTTTCACTTTTTAAAACAATATTAGGAAGGAGTTTAAAAAGTATTTAAATTCTCTATATATGTTGAGACTAGCATATTCAACCTTTATACCATAGATAATCTGTTACAGCTGTTTTTGTTGCACCTGCTTTCCTGCTTAATAATTAAGTTTCCTGAATCTTAAAATTGGCCTTGTTTTAATCAATTAATCATAACAATGACACTTTATTGCTCTTTAATACTAATTTTGATTTACTTAATATTCTTATATTTCTTAGCTCACGGAAATGCAAGCTGAGAGTAGTTATTACAGTCCACAGAAAGTAAAATCTAAAGAAGTATTGTGTTGGGAACAAGAAGGAACTACAGTTGAGGTAATCTTTCAATATTGAACCTGTATTTTTAAATATTATGTTCTTTGTTTAATATTTTATAAGTATGTGTTTTTATCAGATGTAGTATATTTAAAAATACAAGGAAGATGTTTCTTATTTTAATAGAGTTTACTATCCCTTAGATAGTATAGATAAATAGTATAGAATAAATTTAGAAATGACATAATTCTAAAGATGTTTAACTAATTTAGAGATTCTAAGAGGAAATCCTCTAACATTTTTATTAAATTCAATTTCTTAGTTCTAATATTTCCTTTCCTCTTATAGGCCCTTATGATGGGAGAACCTTTCTTTGATTGCCAGATTGGGTTTGTTGGTTGCAGAGCCATGTGCCTTAAAGGAATTATGGGTGTTAAAGATTTTGAAGAGAATATGAATAGAAGTCAAACTGTAAGTCCCTTACCTCCACCCTTTTTTGGATAGGATATAGGAATAATTAAGTGTTTATTGAAGTGTTTAACCATATGATATCTGTTAGACTATATCTATCTCAGGCTTGAGAGAGGAGCTTTACTATTTCTCCCTGTGTTTCCCCTGCAAGAAATTATACAGCTCAGGGGAGTTTAGAAAGTTGGTAGCACCTAACACCTGGACAGTAGTTCCAACTACTTTCTAATTCATGAATGTTTCTTCTTTTTTGTTTATGGCAGTTATTTGGAGTTTCCTTTTGGTTTGTTAAAATATTCTTAGCCAAAATAGTCAATGAAATGGAGTAGCAGCATTCCTTATCTTTCTGTTTTAGTGATTTCTTTTGACTGGTAAATGGGCATCATAAAATCAAGGTTTTATTTTGTTTAACAGGCTAATGGTTTTTCTTCATGTTATAAATTTTGCATTTGTTTTCAGGAAGCCTGTTTCTTCATTTGTGGTGAAAATTTGAGTACTAAAGGTTTCACATACCTTACAAATTCATTGTTTGATTACCGAAGCCCAGAAAATAATGGTACTCGTGCAGAGTTTATCTTGGATTCAACTCATCATAAGGTCAGAGAATATATATTTGAACCAAATTCTAGGCTATGTTTGGGTGGACACGTTGTGTGAATACTTGTGATTTCTAGCTTTCTTTTCAAATAATACCTTCTGAATGCTAATTGTTTATTAAAACATTTAGCGTGCATTTATACAGCGTGTACATGTAGAAATGTTTGAGGAGTGCACAGAGATCTTTACTTTTATTTAGTATGTAAACATATTTTGCTTATTTATGCCCTGCTTCAAAAATAATCATGGAAGAAACATGTTGAATTACCACTGTTAATTTTTGTTACTTTTAATATGTGGGATTGATGGGAAGAAATGAGGAATTTACCCTTATACTATGTATGTTTCTTAGTATTTTTTAAATGTAAGAATATATTAATATGTTTATGGAATATTAATACATCTATGAAATCAGTTAAAAATTCAGATAATTACCTGAAGATTAGTGCAATAGGATAATTTACATTTTACTCCTTTTTACCAAGATTTACTTTCATTGTTAAAATACTTAATGTTGACTTGCATAGTTGACATACATTTAGAATATTTTAGTATATCTTTAGTGTTTGAATTGTTTCATGTAAGTGTATTGAGAAGTATTTAAGGATTAATTCTACTTGAGAGTATACATTATTAGACAGTTTAGTGATAGTGATAAAGGTCAGGAGTGTACTATCTCGTCTATTGTAGTTATTTATTAACTAGATGTGATTAATAAAGTGGTCAAAATGTCTCATAAAATTATAGATGTCCTTTTTGTGTGGTCTATAATAGATGTAATATTACCTTTCTTAGAAGTAAATTCTTAGAATAACCTCTGTTCTTTTGGTAATCCTTTGTGTTGTTATACATTCTATATAAGGGTATGTGTCTAACCTATCAAGCTTTAAACTCAAAAGTTTCTTTTATACAATGTTTGTTCTGTTTGCATTGCTTCGTTGACAGGAGACATACACTGAGATAGCTGGAATGCAACGGTTTGGGGCTTTTTATATGGATTACCTGTATACAATGGAGAACACTAGTGGCAAAGGTATTGGCTTCTTTCCTTTACGTTTGTCATTTCTTGAACAACTGAAACAAAGCCTTCCTCAGAATCAGTTTGTCCTTGACTGGTTGTACTCTGCTACATAAGATTTACCTCTAGTGCTTTGGGGAGTGGTTTAATTTTAGCGTCACGTTAGAATTGTCTTAGATTTTTGTCATTTCAAATCTGTTCTTTATATAGCTGATTGAAGACATTTTATATAACCTATTAGAATTAGTTCTCATATGTACCATATATTATGATTCTGATATATCAAATTTTATATTACATTACATTTTTAAAAAGAATAAACCTTTTCTATTCTAAATACATTTTGAAGGTGGTACTAATTTTTAATTAAAAAGAATGTGTTGTATCAATCAGAAAAATAGAAAATCTTCCAGAGACTTTAGATGCATAGATTGTGTTATTTTATTATGTATCTTATTATTGTTTTATTTTATATTTTTTGGAAATAAATGACATTTAAAAAATTTCTCCTTTTTTTTTTTTTTTTACTTCTATATCAACATATAATGTTGTACTTACTATTTCAGTCTTTTTTATGTTGAAAAGTTAGTGAAGATAGGTTCACTTTTTTTTTGGTGAATTTTTCATGTTTTTAAAAAATGGTTTCAGTATATTAGGTGATATGCTAGGTACAGATGAATACAGTGAAAACCAAAACATTTCCTAAGGAGCCAATAGGTGGTGTTGAACTAGGCATTTAAGTAAATGATTATAATTTAGTTTGCTAAGAAGAGTAATATAGAGAACTAGAAGAAGTGTGGGTAAAAAAAAAAAAATGACAGCTTTTGCTTGAGAGGTCGAAGCTTCTCAGAGTTGATCTTGAAGTAAATTTGTTTTTGATGAAGAAAGAAGGAAAGAGCAGTAATTTTCTGGCTTCTGCTTTTGGAATGGTTTCTAGATGTTGATGTTTTCGTCGGTCAATCCTTAATTTCTTTCCCTAAACTTTCTCCCAAGGTAATTTCATTCTTTTCCATGGATTGAAGTACTTTCCATGTGCTGTTGATACCCAGATTTGCATTTTCTAGTCCAAACTTCTCTAAGATTCAGAATTAAATATCCAATGCATACTTGACGTTTTTACCTCTGTGTCTGTCTCGGGTATCTCAAAACTGATTTTGTCCAAAATTAAGTTATTAATAAATATTCCTGTGACCACTTACTACCTCTGCTTCTCTATTTTTAGGCTTCTCTTCTTGGAAAATTGTACTATCATCTTCTTGTTGCTCAAGCCAGAAACCTGGGAGTCATCATGACACACTTTTTCCTTCGCTCCTAGCCATCTGGTCCACAGATGATAACAGTGGTATCACTGTTACCATATGGACTAGCATCTAGTTCATAGGTACCATCATCTCTAGGTTCTAATGGCTTTTTTTTTTTTTTTTTTGAGACGGAGTCTCGCTCTGTCGCCCAGGCTGGAGTGCTGTGGCCGGATCTCAGCTCACTGCAAGCTCCGCCTCCTGGGTTTACGCCATTCTCCTGACTCAGCCTCCCGAGTAGCTGGGACTACAGGCGCCCACCACCTCACCCGCTAGTTTTTTGTATTTTTTAGTAGAGACGGGGTTTCACTGTGTTAGCCAGGATGGTCTCGATCTCCTGACCTCGTGATCCGCCCATCT